TACAAGCTAACAAAGAGAATTGAAGTTAAGCAATTTAACCAAATTAAGGTGAATTATGGCAATTATTGTAATAAAAGAACATGATTAAAACAAGGTTTTACATTTGAAGAAGCAAGTTTTCAGAAAAAAAAAAATAATAATAATATTACTTCAAGATAAAACATAACACATCTCTATTTTTAAATTATTATACAAAAGATATTCACAGAAATTCAAAAAAAAGCACACTTGATTTTATTGGTTATTCCAAAGATTACAAAATAAAAATATTAATAAAATTTGGAAACTTGAAAGATAAATATTTCTGCCAAGAAAAATGAAAAAAAAGTGTTTTTTTTTTTCATTTTTTCAGAGAAGATATTTTTTTTTCTTCAGGAGTATGTAATGTAAAATAAATTAATAGCATAATAAATAAAAAATTTATCAAACTTTGTTGCTTTATTCAATTTTATTTAACATCAGTTGCTATTAAAGAGTAATTGTTTTTTACCAATTATAGAATACAATAATCAATATTTTGTTCAGGTTAAAAGCTATATATCAACAAACATGTGCTTTATATATCTTTTAAAATTGAAATAAACAACAACATGAACTTGTATTTTTGCAATTTTTTTTGCTTTTACCTTTTTACACTTAGCTCAGCATAAAGGTGTGGTTAGTTAAGAGTTGTTCATTTTTGTAATCAGTTTACTATATCAAAACACACTTGTGGACATCAGGTTATAAATTATTTCTTATAGCTATTAATTCTTATAGCTTATTTCTTATTAAGCTACAATGTTTTGTCTTTTCTTATCTTTTATTACTATACATTACCAAAGCCAATCTAAATCAGCTCTTGTTTACAATTGCTATTAATTTGAGAGTGATTTAAATTATCTGGGCTAATTTTAAACTAATTTTTTTATATCTTTATTTTTAAGAAAATAAATACACTATATTGTACAAAATTGGATAAAAAAATCTTTTTTTTTTTTTTTTGTCATTATTATTTGGCAATTACTATTTCACTTTTATTATTCAATACGTTTTTTGACGTATGTCTTGACAACGTTTTTTGACATTTGTTTTGATTTAAACTTACGCGCAAAAGCCTCTCTTTCAAAATTGGCGAATCAGATTGCGCATATCTCTGCCTATTCTGAGCCTGTATAGGGTTTCAAAATAAACCACCCGCTTCCCGACCAAGCCTTCATAAGCAAAATTCTATGAGTAGAGTCAAGGAGATCCAGCATTCATCATCCTAGGCAGGAAACAATATAACACAGGTTACATCTACGCCAGCCTAATAGATGAAGAAGGAGTTTGAGAATATAAAAAAAATACCTGTAAATTATTAAGTTTCGCGTCAAACAAAAAAAATTGATACTTTCAAAATATAATTAAATTTCCTAAAGGACAATATTTTTTAACAAAATGAGATTTTTTTAAAGCTAATTATACAAGTGTACCAACCCAGTTTTTAATTGGGTTGGTACACTTGTATAATTAGCTTTAAAAGAATCTCATTTTGTTAAGAAATATTGTCCTCTAGGAAATTTAATAAATTTTTGAAGTATCAATTTTTTTTGTTTGATGCGAAACTTAATAATTTACAGGTATTTTTTTTTATAGAATCAATAAAAAAGCAAATAGGCATTACTATTTATTTTCTGGCAAATCACAATCTTTAGTGACACGAAATTCATGTCTGCAAATTCACTAATTCTAAAAGTTTATAAAGTATTTTGGATGAGTGACATTTAAGTTAAAAGATTACTACATCTGTCCAACAACATCTGTGGAGTAGTCCGAGTTGTCTGTACACTTTTGCCAAGATCATCTGTATTTATCTTTTACTTTAATAACATCTGTCCAATATCATCTGAAAATTCAACTACCCCCAACAACATCTTTAGAAAGATGTAGCCACATCTCTGAGTCCAATAATTAACATCTGGAAGAATTTTCTCCAAATGTAGTTACATTTTAAAAAATTTCTATATATAAAAACATCTGGTTAAGATAATGCATTATTAGTTAATATTTTTTTCCAGATGCTGTTACATCTGAAAAACCTCTATATGTAATAACCTCTGGGTAAAATAATGGATTGTTAGTTTATATTTTTTTCCCGATCTAATTAAAGTTGAAAAATTTTTTAAACGTAGCTACATCTGGTTAAAGTAATACATTATTAGTTAATTCTTAAAAATAAATCTTTAAAATAACTTCATTACATCACAGATGTAGTTGCACAGATGTTATTACATTTTAATAATTTAAAAGATGTAACTATATCTGTAGAACCCACAGGTGTAGCTGCACAGATGTTATTACACTTTAATTAGGTAATTTAATAGATATAACCACATCTGTAATATTCTTTTAATTTTTGCACAGATGTTATTAGACCAAAGGAATTACAGATGTTGTTAAACAGATGTTATTATATTTTTAAATTTCTTAACTCATTTTTCAATTTTTTTCAAAGTTTTTGGAATGTATTGTTTATAACATTCTATATTTTATATATTCGAAATAATATTTTGAATATTAACTCAGTATTTGTCCCGTTTACCATCTTTATGCAGTGGATGTGTAGTATCTACTTTATAATATGTATCCACAACAATGTTTATTGACGTATAGAAAAAGTAATATCTTCTCTAATTTTGTACCGTTAGCATCGAATTCATGCAATCAACCACAAAGTATACTTATTTGATTCAAAAGCTTTATTATTATTTTTATATTTAATTTTTGGTTTTATCAAAATCTTTTATCAATTATTTTATAGGATTAACAAGACAAGATTTTTTACGTTGGCGGCATAGCCACCCCGGGCCCAAAGTCGATGTTGACCAGCCTCATTTTCAAAATTATGGGCCACATTCGTGCGAAGCAAGAGAAATAGGCTGCAGCAGAAGTGCGAGAGTAAACCATTTTGCATTTTTTTTTTTTTTTTTTGCTACGGTAAAATGTCAAATATTCGAAATTTTAAATAGCTTCAAAATAACAAATAAATTTAAAAGTTATTTCGTTTTTTTTTCCTTTCATTTTATTGGACTAAATTTTTAGTTAGTCAGTTTAAAATACGTGTTGAAATATAATACTATAAAGTTTAGATTTCGTCGCTGCAAAACAAAACTATTTTAATGGTTTTGTTTTGCGGCAACGAAATCTAAACTTTGGATTTTTGTTAGTTTAAAATACTTAACACATAATAAATAACTAAAAACAAATGAATTTAATAAAAAAAATTCGAAGCAGTGATTAAGTTTAAAACTTTAAATGTCTTTTTCTCAGAACACCAAAACGGACTTAAGATTCTCATATGTTATTTAGTTTAAAGATTATCTTAATTCTATTTGCATTGTTGATTCTTATAATCCTAAATTTTTATTTATTTTTTTATTTGTTATATTATGAAAAAATAATAACATATTCTCTAAATGTTTTAAAAAAAATTTGGATTAATTAAGAAGATCAAATGCAGTGATAAATTAAAAACTTTAAATGCAGAACAGTAAAAATGGACGACGGTTTAATGTTCATTTTAAATTGACTTATGAATTTTGGCATTGTTCAGTTCAATACTAATCAATCAATACAATCAATCGCATTGTGTCAATAAAATATTAAAAATTTAAAGCGTTGGGGCAACAATTTAAAGCGTTGGGGCAAAATGTTCTAAATTTGAAGTTATTAGCACTGCCGCTTTTCAAGATATCAGGCTTCCAATCAGACAAAAGATTAGCGAATGAAATGAGTCAATTTATAAATAATTTGCAATTGACCAAAATAAATTTGGAATGTTTTTGAATTTTATTTTTCATAATAAAATGCCTCAAGTGACTTAAGACTTAATAGAAAATGTCAAACTGAGTTCGTGCACAATTTTTTATGAAACTTATTACGAAATTTCTTATATGAAATTTATTACTGGACCTTTATTAGGAAATTGTTTAATTTGTTTGATTGATTTTTTACACGTTATAACGTTTATAAAAACTATTTTTAATTATGCTTTAAACGAACGTTTTTGGGTTGTTAAAGCAAGTTATATCTATAGCGAGATCAATTTTTAACAGTTTAATAGGTGGTATCAGCATGATAAAAAACAGCATAATTGTAAAATAAATCAGTTCGTTAGCCGAGCACCAAGTATGTTCATTTTTCGTACTTCCGAGATAATCAAGTTTTAAAATTTAATTTGCTAAGGCTCACTGCCAGAATGTTCGACTAATTTTTTAAATATTTTAAAGTTGTATCATTCTTGAAACAAGATTTATAAGGCACATACTCAACTGATTGTTGAATATTTATTGGTCATAATTAGAAAAAGCACAAAATGTGGACATAGGGCCTCTTGATTCTCGGCTGACGAGTTCTTGATCATCATTACGGGACATTAAGTGAAAGAAATTATTTTATACTCTATGTATTCAAGATATGTATGTATAGGCTTTTTATGACTTCTTCAAAAATAGATTACCTTTCTAGTTTCGATAAGAACTACTTAACAGGTATTACACCTCAAACTCTCTACTAGCGTTTATCCTTTATATATATATATATATATATATATATATATATATATATATATATATATATATATATATATATATATATATATATATATATATATATATATATAAGCAATTCTATTAAAAATACAAAAATATTCAAATGCTATTACTTGCATCGTTGTTTTAACTTGCGCGGATGTAGCGATTTGGGGGCCTGAAATTTAAATGAAATAGGAGTAGTTTACGTTTCTATCAAATATCAAAGGTTTACGTTTCGATCAAATATCAAACACAGAATTAAAGATTAACTTGTATTCATTATATTTCTATAATACATCTTTTCTATATAATAAAATCATGCTATATAATAAAATATTAAATTTTATATTATAAAATTAACGACAAAAAAATCACAATAAGCTATTGCATAAATGTGTCGCTCTTTAAAATAATTTTTTTTGTTTAAAAAGAAATAAAATTGCTTTAGATGTAGTTCTAAATTATTAGCAGGTTCTATAAATGCTTTCTAATTATATCAATGACAATTATATAAAGCAAAGCGTGAAATGCCTACGGCCATAAATTTAGACATTTAGTACATAATAACAACTAACTGTTAAATAAGCAGGAAAACTAAATTTTTATAGTCTTCTTTAAAGTCGCGACATTATAAAGAAGAGAAAGCATTTATTACTACGCCATTGAGCTACGTTATATATATATATATATATATATATATATATATATATATATATATATATATATATATAAACACACACACACACACACACACACACACACACACACACACACACACATACACACACACACACATTATAATTATATGTTAATAAAATATATGTCTCAAGTTTACGAAAAGAAATCGTGCTTGATATCTTCATTTTCTTTTTAATGACATGCCGTTTAATTCTTTTGCAAGAATACCAATCATTAAGCCAACATGGAGGCCACCACTATTTTGAAATGATACCTAATTTATAAAAAATTTTAAATTATGAATCAAATTTTAATTTCAAAAAATTTTTTAAAAGTTTCACAAAAATTTTTATAATAACAAATCAATTATCTGAAAAAAGAGATGCAATAGTTAAATATAGTTTACCTATTATAAAACTTTTGCCATGGATTTTCAGTACAATGCCATCAGTGGTATTACTTTATGGCAAATCATTTTAAGAATTGTACTTTCTAGGCATTTTGCAAAGCAGGATTGTTTTGTGGAGTACGTGCATTATAATAAAATAAAATTTATATAAAGTAACATAATACTACATGTAATGTTTATTGTCAGTTAATGTTATTGACCTCCCAACATAAAAGCTTTACATTAAATCAAGTATAGTCTGCATAAATTAAATATTATCAACCTAAAATAAAATCATTTTTTTAATATTGTATATTTGGATGTTACGCAAGTAATTATGACTGTTCAACATTAACAGTCCGTAATATTAAAAATTATATACCTGTGCTGTATAACAGTATTATTGTTTTATTATTATTTATTTGACTGGTTGTGGCAATCATTACAGTTCCAAATTTCATCTTCCTGCTCATAGGCACAGGCATAGGCACTGGAATTTTTTCGCATTCACGATGAAACCATCTACTAAAAGCACAGCATTGTGCCATTTGGCTTTAAAAAAATAAATACATTATACATTATAAAAATTTGTTACTACATTATACTACATTGTTACTACATTATAAAAATTTGTTAAATTTAACATACCAAATAAAGTATTGCAGTTATAAATATTTTGTTGTTAACTCATTAATATGTGCCAACATACCTGTTATATATGTCTTCATCTTCAGGCACCCAAAACATACGACAAGGAACACGAAAAGTCTTAGCAGCACATCTTCTAAAGGAAAAAGGATTTTTAGTTGCTGGGAATATCTCTATCTGGTTATTTGATATACATTTTAGATCAAACATTACATTTGTTGATGGTAAACTTTTTGTTTCAAGAATCTGACGAGCCCAGGCAATAGCATAAATACCACAATCCACACCATTTGTTTGCTGTTGAACTGGCAAAACTTTAAAAACAAGATTTTTATCTTGACAATGCAAAATATTGCAAATTTGCCTTTTTGTCTCTAAGCTGATTGTACCGTGGAAAAGGCCGTCAAAAACATATATCTCCCCTGGTTTATAGTCATATGTGGTTACACATAACCAGTGAAGATTTCCATCATGAAGAATTTGGACGAATGGAGTACTTGTATAGATATCAAAGATAAAATTTGTCCTTTAATGGGATCTTGCAGTCCAACATCAATATTTAACTGGATTGCCATAAGTTGCTGACAAAAGTGAATTACGTTATCATTAAGCATATGTCCTTTTATGATATCATTTTGTTCTTTATGACCAATCAAAGATGATTTAAGACTTTGAATTTGCAGCACTATTCTATCTTGTTTAATATCTTCATTTACAGTCATTTCAACAGAGTTGTTACTATCATCAGTTAAATGTTCCATGATATCAATTGATTCATTAGGAACCATAAAAATTTCAGGTTGAATCTCTGGACGCAGCAGAATTCCTTGTTCTACTGGAAGACTTTCTGCTAAACGTGTTTTAAGTTGACAAAGCCCCTCAAATAAATTATCAATAGCTTGTTGAGAGTCACATGAGTAACTCATTTGTTTAATTTCATTTAAGAGCTCACGACAGCTTGCAGAGGTATGATTACTGTAGTTTTTAGCAATCAAAATTTTGAACTTCCTTGTCACCCTGTTTAATAAGAGAGGATATGTGTAGCGGTTCAACATGTTCATATTGAATATTATATAATGAAACCTTATTGGAATGAGCTAAACTATTTTCATCTGAAAACAAATCCAGCTTGAAATAAGGAGAATTTGCATATGCAGTGCCAAATGCAGACCAAGAGAGATTCTCTTTTAGAAAAATGGCAAGAAAGTGTTTATATGGATATGAGGTACAAAACCAACTAGGACAAGAACAAGTTGGCAGACATTCAGAATCACCAAGGTAGCATTGGTAAATCTCTCTACTATTTGAATTAAAAAAAGCTACATTGTATAATTTGTCTGTCACAGCAGTTATGCCCCGCAAATTCACACCTTGTAATTAATTATCAATCAATGCCATACAATGTTTGACTAAAGATGGTGGGCGATCAATCAAATATGCTGGAATTTTATCATCATATTTTCTATATTAGGAATGTGCTCTTCTATTTTCATCACAATAACTAAAACAAGATTAATAAAATTAAAGAAAAGGTCAAATTTAATCAATCGCAAAAAAATAAAACGATTATATTTAAAATTAGAGTTTTGGTATATACAAATCCAGTAATCATATTATTTAAAGATCAATCAGTATAATTTCTAATTTTAGGTTAACTCAAGTAAAGCAGGTTAATATTCAAAAAGTGTTACAGATTAAGTCAAATAATAAGTATAGTGAATAACAAAGAGCAACTTTAGAACTCTTATTAGTAAAGGAATTTATGAGTAGCAAAATAGTGCTGCTGCAGCAGTTGTATTAACTAACTTGTCATATTTGTGAGGAAGAAATTCTTCTATGCAAATACTAAGCATAGTTGTTAGAGAAGAATTCTTTCTTTTTTCTAAAAAACTATATTTGAAAGATAGGTTCTGTCTTTCAGTTCCATTGTTGGTGTTGACATCCTACAAGATACGATCTCTCCTATATGCAACAACCCAGCGCTAAAATCAGAAAGAAATGGATTATAAACACTTAGTAACATTTTAGTAACAAATTGTTATAAATAAAATAAAAATACAACAAAATGATTAAACCAATAGTCGCAATTAACCAATAGATACAATATTGTATAAACCGTTGTAAGAAAAAATATTCTTTTTGATTGTTGAAAATATTTATTTATAATCAACATTAAAACTACCTTTATAGACATGCTTTCTGTTACGATAGGGGTAATGATTAATTGATTATAAGAGGATTGCTTTCTAATAACATAGCTTCAGACAATATTTTAAAAAATGTAGCAATTAAATTTTGTGTAGTAAATTAAGTATATAGCAAATTTATGAATTAGTTTTAAAGTTGTTGTTTTTTTTTTTACAAAAAAAATGGTCAGAGTTTATTTATTACATTTTGATTAGTTTTTTAGATTGCTCATAGAAAGAACATTGTTTAGAAATACAAATTTAGTTTACGTGCTGTAGGCCAAGATTTTGTTTAAAACGGCGAATTGTTTAACAAAATGAGTAGACAGTCTATATCCGGTTGCTTAACCTCTACGAGAAATAAGCATTTAATTCTCAAGTAGTAGGAGTGGTGTTTTTTGAAATTTAATTGATGGAGGTAAAACAATAGTTGAAAATGCTAAAAATATTTTTCTAGTATTTTTAACGTTTTTTATTATATACATTGTTATCTTATATACATCTTATACACACAATAAACATTGTTTCTGTGCAATGGTGATTATCTTATTGACGTATTTTCATAATTCACTCATAATCAGATTTTTCTGTCTAACTATAATCAAGCTAGTTTTTTTATAACTGATAATCCTCGTACAAACGTTTCTATTGCTAATTTAGCACAACTTTTATTTTTATTATGACAATTATTTAAATTATCCTGAATACTTTTGTCAAGTTTTACACCATATTAAAGTTACTTCATTAGAATCATCAGTTTAAAATCCGCAGGATTCAAACTGATGATTCAGGCAAAACTAGCATTTAAAAAGTAATATTTTTTAACCTTGCTATGCTCGAATAAATTTCAAAAAAAATGAATAAATATTGGTTTTAATAAAAAAATTATAAAATACTATTTAACCAATATTATTTTATAATTTTTTATTTAAAATATTTCAATTGGCATGCTGACACTTTAGAATATTCAGGTTGGGAGTTGTAAAGCAAAGATAGGTCGGCTTTTGCGTTGACATTGCCAAATGCCAACCAGAATTTTGCTGACTGTAATGTGACCATGTAAAATTGATTATCTACCAAGCTACTATGCTAAATAGACTTTCTAACTCATGGGATTCATATTCCATGTTACCTAAATTGTGTAACTATCAAGTTACACAATTTGCATAACTTCTTTATAAAATATCTTGAAGTTTTCGCAAAAATTAAAAACATAACAAAAACCTTCAAAGCTTTTTTCCATACTTCTTGTAAAACCTATAACATAACCAACAGTGTGCAATAACTCATGTTCTTTTATTTTGGCACAAACATCAGCATATGTCGCTAAAATGTGCTTTGTTTCCATAGCGGAAGTTGGATTTGAAACTGGAGTTAATGTATCAAAGTTTGCATCTAAAATGATATAAAATCTTTCAAATGACAATGAAAAATTTAGGCAACAGTACTAACATTTTTCACAACTTTTTATTTATTTTGCAGATAAACATAATACAATCATTTATATATACAAAGTTTTTATGTTTTTAATATTATTTTTGTCTTTAATATTAAGGTATTGTTTATTTTATTAAAACAGTAGAGTTAGCATCAATAGATTTTATCATTCAGTCGAGTCATGTAATCGGCTGTGTATTATCTATGAGTAACAATACAATAGAGTTTTGTTTTATCAAGGAGCCCTTGATAGCTGATTGAGTTGTAATCAAGAAGAAGTAATAAAACATTGGACAAATGTGGATTTTGATTATTTGTTGACAAACTTAAAATAAAATGTTGAATTAAATCTCTTACAAAATATCAAAATAATATGAAATTTTTTTTCTAGCATGGTACAAAAAAATTTTGAGTTGGTCATAAGGTGTGTATATATATATATATATATATATATATATATATATATATATATATATATATATATATATATATATATATATATATATATATATATATACATGTATATATATATATACATATATATATATATATATATATATATATATATATATATACATATATATACATATATATATATATATATATACATATATATATATATATACATATATATATATATATATATATATATATATATATATATATATATATATATATATATACATATACATATATATATATATATATATATATATATATATATATATATATATATATATATATATATATATACATATATATACATATATACATATATATACATATATTAGGTACGTGTGTAAAAATTTTAAACCATTTATTCATTTAAGTATTATATATGGTTCGAAAGAGCTTTGAATTTATATTAAAATGGTGAAAATTTTATGAAAAACGAACAATTACAAAAAAAGTTATGCTTATTTAAGTAACATTTTTTTTTATGAAGGATTGCTTAGGAAAAATGCAACCATCGTAAAAAACTCGCGTTCGGCTAACGGTAGCTTTGTTGTAGAACGTTATTGTTAATTTGCGCATGATTTTGCTTAGTGAAATGTGCAAAACGAGTTAATAACATTTTTAAAAAAGTTTTTAATATAACAAAATTTTTTTAACAATTTATAACAAAAATATTTTTAATGATAAAAACCTAATATTAAAATTTATAACAAAATTTTAAATAAAATATCGTGTATTTTAACGATACTTACAATATATATATATATATATATATATATATATATATATATATATATATATATATATATATATATATATATATATATATATATATATATATATATATATATACATTTATACATAATAATGGTTAAGGTTATATATATTTATGTTATTAAATATGTACCAAGGCTAGGTTTTCTATAGCGTATAGATGAACTTTAAAGACATTTAAAGCCTTAGCGTTTTCGCTCTCTATTTATGCTTATTTTTATCTTTTTCAATGAAAGATATAGATATAAAGATATATTTTGCCAACTAAATAAACAAAAAATTCATTCACAGAAGGGGTCTCACCTCCCTCTTTCATGGCCGTCGACACCATAGGGGGCTATGCCTCCTCCCCCACTAATTGCTTCGAGGACCTTTTTTTTAGAAATATAGGTTTTTTTTTTTTAAATTAGGGAGTTGGCCCCCATCCCCAATTTAAAAGCCGTGTCAATTACATCATATAGTTTAACTAAAAACCTACTAATAAAATATCCAACTAAACAAATGGGTGGGGTGGGTGGGGGGATGTCCACCACTGCTCCCCTTCCTTTTCCCTTCCAGATTTTGAAGCAAACAAAACTGTGACATCCATAGATAGAAAGAGTCGATTCTTTAGTACGCAAAGGAAACCACATCCAATGATATCTAAAATAAAGTAAAAATTTCTCAAAACTCATGTCGCAATACCTATTTAATAAGGATGCCCTATGTCCCGGATAATAAATAATATATAACTGTTATTACTGCATTAATAAACATAATAAACCTCTAAATAAATATGATCTAACCGGTTTAATCTTGTTATGAAAAAGATCAACATCCACTGAAGCAACCATGTAGTTTTTATCATGTTGTTTAACCTTGCAATAAGAAAAAATATATCAGATATAAAATTAAAAAAATAATAAATATTAAGGCTAACAATTAACTAATGTATAATGAATTAACATTTAACTGTAATTACTGAATTAATAAATATAATCTTGAGGTCTTTAACATAAATATCCACAGTAGCAAATTGCCATTATTGTTAAAACCTTGCAATAAAAAATAAATGAAAATGCATTAGATATTTAGCACCATAACTGAAAAACCCATTAGAGATTACTAAATATAAGAATGATTTATTAAGTTAAAAAATTCAAAATCACTTAACTACTGATACACAACAAACTTCCCATTACCAAACAAAAAAATCGATAGCAGACCCTTCAATACTGTTTAACCTGAAATATAAAAGATTTGATTAAAAATTATAATGAAGAAAAAGTTATCTGGTCATTACTCTCTGGTAATGGCAAGCAAATAAATAAAAAATAAAAATTTTAATTTTAAAGGGGTTTATTGTAATGGAACACTAACATCTCTCAATCCACGCAAGCGAAACTCTGTTATACTTGATAGAAAAATGCATTACCATCATTGATAATGATAAACATCAATTGTCATAAGCCAAGCAATTTGCTTATGTCAAAAAGTAAATGAGCTTTGGTTTCCCATAGCACGTTGCAACCAGGTCAACCCTGGTTGTTGGATGTCGGTAACTACCCGACTACCTAAAATTAAACTTCTATATAAATATATGTATATATAAAAACAAATTTAAAAATTATAAATCTTTTCATAATACTACAAAAAAAGGAAGGAATTAGATATATATTAGGCATTGCAAAATTTATTTAAAAAAAAAAAAAGAAATTTACCTACTATCTGTAAATATTATCTGTTAATGCAAGTTTATAAGACATACTAATACTTAAAATAAAATATACCTTATTATTACACAATTCTGTTATGTTATCACCATATCACCGCTTATTATGTCTGCAGAAAGTTGATATTTGCTCATATCATACTCAACACCGTCATCATCTTCATTTTCATTTGGTTTCCAATAAGAAACTATATATATATCATTGTTCTTCTTTTTAATGCTAACAATTCTGCCCTAATATACCTCATGGGTGTTATTGGCATTATCGAACCACATGTGGCAAATACTTCTTCCAATAGCAGCTCCAATAAGAATTTCTTCAAAATCTGAGGCCTCGTTATTTTCTAGGTCAGGAAACATTTCTTTTACCTGATCGGGCATGCAACTTTTTAATATTTTTTCTACCTTTCTGCGGTCTTTGTCCTCTCTTTTCTGAATTTTATCTGCCATTCGTTTTAGCAGTTCTAACTTCAGTTCATTATGACATTGCATACTTGTAAATCGATTTTTCCTGGCATTAGAGATAGCCCATAATATCAACTTGTTTTGAATATCAGTTGGCTTTTTACAAAGCAGAGCAGTTGTTTTATTTTTGCAAGCACGAAGTTTCGAAGAAAGAAAACAAAGAGTAGCATTAGGAGCTTTGTGCTTTGCAGCGCTAAACATACCCATAAGTTCTTCTGAATCAATGTTGTGAAGCCTAGCTGACTTAGTCTGGTCTTTAAGAAGATCATTGGAACTCATTTCGAACTGACGCTTGTACTGCCTGTCAATGACGCTAATAACAGCATTAAGACAGTCACCTAATGCTTTACTTATTTCATTAGTTACTGGGCAAAAGCTGATTATTGAATCAAAAACAACATCTTTAATATCATTACCAAAGAAATCAGTTTTTCGTTTAAGTAGAGATAAGGGATTCTTGCTGCTCTCAATAAGAGTGTTCCTAACATCTTTTACTACCTGAATGCCAGATATGTAGTCAAGTCCTGTACCTGGTGCAATATAAAATTTTGTCATCCAAGGGCCAGAAAGTAGCTTTCCAATTAATGCTAAAACACACAACTCACGGATACCTAAGGTAAATTAGTTAATAAGTAACAAAAAATAAAATTTGTCTTTATTCTTTGTTAATCATGTGTCATTACTATGTAATAAAGATGCATTCTATAACCTATAATATTGTAAATAATAGTGGTATACCTATTTCAGATGTAAAGTCTTAAAACAAACTATTTCGCAGACCTCCACATAACGCCAAGCCAGAACACAGAAATATCTTCAATATGGCATAATGATGGATCAAACAACTACATGTGTGAAAAAGTATATGTAGTCTGTTCCCTCTATAGCGTGGTAGCAATCCTCTGGGCAACTCATGTTGGTCCAAAAAGGTTACAAAACCCTTTGGATCGCCTATGAATAACATAAAGAAAGTCATTTTGGGAATTGCAAGGAGAATATGAATTAAAAACATGCAATAATTATAATATTTATATATTTTTAACTTGTAATTATATTTACAAAACTACACTATACTAAAGTAAAAGAATGGTTTTAAAAGTATATAGGTACCTTTAGCATCCTTGTAACGAAGTTTGTTTAGCTGTACAACAATGTTTGCTGCTATGCAGTCTCTTCCAAAAAGTTTCCCTTTTGAAGTCTCTAATGCTTTAAGTGAAGACTTGCAAGAGCTTGTCATTGTGTCCAAGGGGTGAAGGTGACAGTTAAGTTCATTTAATGATTTCTGCCAAACTAGGTTTAACTTTGAGACTGTTGCATGGTTTGTTGCAACTCTATCACTCATGGTATTTGTTATGTTCCCGATAATAGTGCTTCTTACATCAGTGTATTTAAGCTTATAGAAGTCACTATATAACTTAGCAAGATTATCAACAGATTTTGTAATATGACTCTGATAGTCATAAGCTGTACCTCCAGGAAGTTGATTAATAGCTACAACCATACATACTGATTCGGTTGTTAAGTGCACAGCATTTACATGAACACCCTCCTGGGTTGTTGCATCAAAACCAAGTGTCAGATCTTTCGTTGTAAATGCTATCTCAGCAGTATGTAAGTCTGAAAGAACACCAAGCTCACGCATCATTTGTTCTACAGTTGTCCGATGTGGAATTTGACTAAATCGATAGCCAGTATGTTCTCCAATTTTATGGAGCAGAGATGGCACACTATGTGTAGGAACTTGGCACACAAGCATGTCATATATAAGTGTTCTGATATCTGCTGAGTAGCATTTTTCATTTTTGGTGTTTTGTGTTACTTGCTGAATATCTTCTAACTTTTCCTGTAAAACCAGTATGTCATTTTGAAGTACAAGAATTGCAGAATTTTTGTCAGCAAGTTGTTGGGATAACATTGTCTTTTGATTAAAAAACTTGGTTTCGGTGAATGTTAACTGTTGTTTTAAATAAAAAATTTGATTTTGAAGTTTTTTTAACTGTATATTTAAAAAATTTTCTTTTAATTTTTTTCTAAGTTGATGAATTATCTTTTCCTTACGAGCAATAACTTGATTTAGATATTTTAATCTGTATGGTCTAGCCTTTGCCTTTTCTCTTAAACCTTTAAGATCTTCTTTATGTTTTCTCTTTTTAACTGCAATTTCGTTTTCCAAAATGGTTAATCTCTTTCTCATAATCTTTTTCCTGGGACTAACCTGGTCAGCTCTCAACCTGGATATTGATTCTTGAGAAGAGTCACTATTTGATAGAGACGAAACAGTGATTTGCTGAGAAAAAAATGAAGAACACGTAGCAATGTGATTAGAGGTTGTGATTAACTGTGATGTTTGAGTCACAGCAGATGTTGTTGGTTGGTATTCAAAGAGCATGTTGCAGATGTCAATAAATTGTTTTGAATTTCGTGAAAAAGCTTTTACAAAGACTTTTGATTTTCTAACTAGTTGCAGAATCTGATTGGGAGAAATGTTGATGTTAAAATACTTACTGATTAGTTCTACAGTTACTTGGTATGAATCATTGTTAGTTGCCAATATATGCAGTACATGTCCATTTCTACAGCCCATATTTAAATGAGCTGGTATTGGAAAATTACAAACTAAATAAGATTTAGCTTTACCATAAAATAGATTTGTTTTCTTTTTAGGTCCCATGATGCACTAAATTAAATTCAACGATCATAACACTACTTTAATTGTAATTTAATCATTATTAATATTTAATTACTATTTAATTGGGTCAGCAATCAATCACAATTAACTAACTAATAAATTGCCTTTGATCAATAAAAAATTATAGATATATATAATTTTTATATATCATAAATAATGCTGGTTGGTGGTTAGATGGTAAATTATGGGTACAGAAAAAAATTGAGAAAATGCTGTTTTTGTTTGTTACCATTATTTCGCATTTTATTCTGAATCACCATAAAAAAGTGTCATAATTTTTATTTCAGCATTTTAAATTAGATTTAACAGAATTTAGCCTTGAAACTAATTTTGGTGTGTGAAATCATCAATAGTGTTAGTAATATTATTACTAACAACAATAGTGTTAGTAATATTATTACTAACAACTTTTTTTTTTCAATAGCCATTTATTACAAATAAAAGGCTATTGAAAAAAAAAATGTATACCTTTTTAATGAAAACTATCTATATATCTCATTATAATGAATAAACAATCAAATATACCAAATGCTCACCATCAAATTACGCCCCCCCTCCCCGCCTAAACGGAAGTGGAAATACATACCTCCACTGTACAGAAAAATAGGGTGTCTGCGCATGAATATTTTTTAATGAAATTTGGCAGGCACATAGAAAATAGATTTATACTGCTTACTGGAAAATTTTAAAAGTGTAGCAACATGCCTTCAATATTAATGTACCTCCAGAACAGAAACGAAATTTGAAAATCTTATAAAAATCACTAGTAAAAGAAGTAACAGTAACATTAACAGAAACAGTTTAATAAAGTGTAACAGTAACAGTAGTTGTAAAAAAGGTGGAAAATGTACCTCCACTAGGTGGCAAAATAGGGTGTCTGCGCATGAATATTTTTTAATGAAATTTGGCAGGAACATAGAAAATAGATTTACACAGCTGACTAGAAAATTTTAAATGTGTAGCAACATGCCTTCAATATCAATGCACTTCCAGAACACGAACAAAATTTTAAAGAGCAATAAAATCACTGAAAAACTTAATACTTTTGGAAAAAAAACATAATTTATACAACCTAAAACATTCTACTTTTCAAAAAAAGTCTAAGCTGATATAAAATTCTAAAAAAAAAGACCAATAAATACATCCTTACCACACCGACTTCGAGCACGCTATGAAAAAAACGGTCACAGTTTTTTACTTATAAATCGGTGCCGTAAATAGCCAGATACGTACGTACCTACATATATATATATATATATATATATATATATATATATATATATATATATATATATATATATATATATATATATATATATATATATATATACACATATATATATATATATATATATATATATATATATATATATATATATATATATATATATATATATATATATATATATATATATATATATATATATATATATATATATATATATATATATATATATATATATATATATATATATATATATATATATATATATATATATATATATTAGAGTGTGACATCCGCCCCCAATATTCTAAAAAAGATCTGTTCATATTCTTAAAACTTTTTATTGGTTCTCACAAGCAACTTTGTTACATTTTTTTATAAATTTATTAGATTTAGGGGGAGCACCAGACCCTTGAACACTTACAAGGTCCCTAATATTACATAAAAAAAAGTTTTTTTAAAGTGTCATGTCGGGTCTCAAAAGAAGCAAAACTATATAAAAATGTTAGAAATAACAAACATTTTATAAAAAAATTATTATTTAAGATTTTTTTGGAATAATTATCAGAAAAATACACTTTTTTCATTTTTGGGTTAAAAAAGGTCATTTTTCTGCGAAAAAATCTAAAATTTTACTTTTTTATAAAATGTTTGTTATTTCTAACATTTTTATATAATTTCGCTGAAGTGTCCAAGAGTCTGGTGCTCTGTAATAGAATATCACCGCACCTTAGAATATCACCGCACCAGTAGAAATAATGAAAACGAGGATGCGTTTTGATGTAATAGAACTTAGTAGAGTACCGAGTACGTCCGAATAATACAAGAACGTTGAAAAAATGTTGTTTTTTAACAAACAATATCTAGTATGTTGGTTTTTTAACAAAATACATGGGTGATGTAATATTCTGAACATGTAATAGTGTGATTCTAAATTTTATAAAGGTGATGTAATATTCTAACATTCTAAGCACTATCTACAATATTGTTTTTTAACAAAATATATGGGTGATGTGATATTCTAAACATGTATAACGCGGCTGTTTCACTCAATGTAAAAATGGGTATTACGTCACGAGTTTAGCAAAAACAATTTCCGCATAAAAAGTATTTTATAAAATTCGGCATATAAAGTATAAAATTGTACAAACTTTAAAATATTAGCATTTTTTTTCTGTAATCGCTTTAATCTTCAAATAAAAAATATATAAATGAAATATCTTTTCTTGTTATATAAATATTTACATTAAACGGAATAAAAGTAAATATTGCTAAAATATTGCTCTTGATTTGGAATCACTTTTCTGTTTTTTGCGATTTTTACAAAAAACCTGTCTTGGGCCAACGAAGATTTCATAACATAGCTACATGCTTGATGATTGAAATTTGGAATACTTATCAATAAATGTCTATTCTAACTGATTTTTGGTGCAGAGTTCGTAATTTATTAAAAAAAAAATTAGTTTTCAATGCATTTTTATTTTTAGTTTTATCAATTTTAAATGCAAATCGTATTATTTTTGAACTCTGCACCAAATTATTGAAATTTCAACCCTTTCTTCATATAAAAATCAAAAAATTATAATATGTATCTCTAGCTATGTTATGACATATATTTTCAAACTTGGCTGGTTTAGAAACAATTTGTCTAGTTTAATGCGTAAATTTTTGTTTATATTTCAAAGCAGTCACGTGACGTTAAATACTTTACGTTAAAAAAAAAGAAAATATTTTGGTATTTTTTAATTTCGACTATTGTAGTGGCTGTATCAGTTCGCATTTCGTGTAAATAATGTTAATGTGTTTTATAATTAGTCTAGCTATGTTTATATTACATATTAGTCAGAAGAAATATAATTTATCTGATTAATTTTGCTAAAAAGTACCATTAAAATTTAGAAATTCTGCCAAGTTCGTCATTTTGCGCGTTTATTTAAAATTAGAGCAGCCTTGGATTATTATATTGAATGATCAAATATATAACATTTAGTCAGTGTTCATATTCTTTTTACAGAACGTATTTATCTTTAATATTTCAAAAGTTATAAAAGTTTTAGTAACACCCCCCAAGTGACTATTTTCAAAAAATAACAAGAAGCCGTATGTCCACTCTGAAACAGCCGTGATAAGTGTATTTCTAAATTTTATAAAGGTGATGTAATATTCTAACATTCTAAGCACTATCTACAACAACAACAACAACAAAAAGCAATATATTTACCAAGAATATAGATGTTTTACAACAAGCATGTTATAAAATACAAATTAAAAAAAAAATATGTATAGCCTATATTCTGGATGGTTCACTCTCATATAGCCTGGCTAAATCGAGGAGAGCGACCATGAGCAAAACAAAAACGAAAGGAAAACAAAACATAAAAAAAACAAACAAACAAACAAACAAACAAACAAGCTAGCTAATACATTCACATAAGGTTGCTATTATTTAACATTCATATTTATATCATATCTTCTATAACTTCGAGGAGATATGATATAAATATGAATGTTATAAAATCGAGGAGAGCGACCATGAGCAAAACAAAAACGAAAGGAAAACAAAACATAAAAAAAACAAACAAACAAACAAACAAACAAGCTAGCTAATACATTCACATAAGGTTGCTATTATTTAACATTCATATTTATATCATATCTCCTATAACTTCTATTGCCATAAATCTTTTATCACCAACGATTCATTTATTGTTTTAAATTATCTTGATGTATCAGGTAGTATTTTAATTTATTTTTGAGAGTATATTTTTTAATATTGCAAAAAGGGATTGTTTTTAATTTATTTTGAAGTTGATTCCAGTTCATTATTGCAGAGTATTTAAAGGATTGTTTACCATAGGATTTTGTATTATATGTTTGCACACTCAGTGCACCGCTACAAGAATTTCTTGTAAATCGGCTGCTAATTGCACTGCGTTGAGTAAACCATTCATCAAATATAGGAGGCAGTTTTTTATTAAGGCAGCTGTGAATAAATAAGCAATTTTCAATTTTAATTAAATCATGTACTTTTAAGATATGTAATGTGTTAAAAGATGTGGATGTATGTGAATTTTTTGGAAGAAATTCAATAATTCTGACTGCTTTTTTCTGCATGATAAATAGGCGATTAATAATACTCATATTTTGACTCTATGATAAAAGGCAATATGTGAGGTGAGAGTGAAATAAAGCATAGTAAATAGATTTTAAAGTTTTTTGTTGAATGAAATGTTTTAGCTTTGATAGAATGGCAAGGGATCTATTCAACTTATTAGAGATATCGTTATAATGATAAGCCCAGTTTAAGTTTTCCTCTAGCTTTATACCCAAGAAGTTAACAAATTTTTTACAATAAAGTTTTTTCCCATTTAATTTAACTTTGATCTGTTGGTCTAATTTTTTGTGGGGACTTTTATATAATATTAAATTAGTTTTTTTGGAGTTGAGGAATATTTTGTTTGCATTAAGCCAATTGCATAGTTTCTTAAGGTCATAGTTAACATATTTGTTGATTTTTTTTACAGATTTATTAAAGTAGAGAAGGTTTGTGTCATCTGCAAAGTGTTGGACTCGACAAAATTTTAATGCTTTAGACATGTCATTTATATAAATAAGAAACAGCAAAGGGCCAAGGACAGATCCCTGAGGAACACCTACTTTGATATTGTTTAAGTTTGAGTTCACTCCACCAATAGATACTAATTGAGTTCTATTAGTAAGAAAAGATTTAAACCAGGAGTTTGAAACTCCTCTAATACCATAGTAGGATAGTTTATAGAGTAGAATGTCAACATCTACAGTGTCAAATGCCTTTTGAAGATCAATAAATATACCACATCCAAACATTCCTTCATCTAGAGAATTTTTAATTTTTTCTGTTAGACTTAGTAAAGCAAGTGATGTAGAGTAGTTTGTTCGAAAACCAAATTGTAGATCACAAAACAGTTTATTTTTATTAAAGTATTCGTATAAGCGGTTAAACATTAGCCTTTCAAGAATTTTATCAATGTTGGAGAGGAGGGAAATTGGCCTATAGTTTGACATTATTAGTTTTGAATCATTTTTAAAAATAGGTATAACTTTGGCAGTTTTTAAGTTTTCTGGGAAAATACCGCTTGAGAATGAGGTATTAAAAATGTTAGAAAGAATTCTTGAAAGTTCAGTTTTTAATAGTTTTAGAATTTTAACTCGTAGACCATTTGGTCCAGAAGCTTTATTTGAGTCTAAAGAGTTGATAATTTTTGAGATTTCATGTTCGTCAGTAGGTTTTATAAAAAAAGATTTTTGAGCAGGATTTGATAAGTAATATGTGAAATGATTCATGGATGAAGGAATTGTTGCCTGGACATCCCTACCAATGCCAGTAAAGTAGTTGTTGAATGTATTACAAATATCAAAGGGGTTTGTTATTGTTATATTGTTATGTACGATTACATTAGGAGTTGTGTGAGAGTTGCTTTTAATATTAATGATGTTTTTGATACCTTTCCAGGTTGCCTTTATATTTTTTATGTTTTCCGTAAAATAATTATCAAAGTAATTTTTTTTTGCTTTCTTTGAGTTTAGATTGGAGTTTATTACGAAATACTTTATACTCATTGTGGAATATGGTTTTATTTGTTTGATTTTTAGACCTAATATATTTTTTGAAGAACTTGTTTTTGTGCTGTATAGAGTGCTTGAGTTCATCAGATATCCATGGTTTATTCTTGAATTTAAAATTTTTTTTGTTAAGCTTTCTAAAAGGCGCGTGAATATCAAGCAACAAATTAATAATGGAGATAGTATTCTCGAGAGACTGAGTACAGTTATCAGGGTATATTTTTGGTTCTTTATCTATAATAGTTTTGACAAAATCGTGTTTAAATGATACTTCATTGAAACTTTTACAGTTTCTTTCCTGGGCTAGAAGCTTTTTGCTAGGTGGTGGTTTAAGAATATTATAAGCTATTAGAAATTGGGGAAGATGATCTGAGATTGTGGTGGTAAGATTCCCAGCTTTATATTTGTTTGATTTAATATTTGAGAAGATATTGTCAATTAATGTTTTTGATGTTTTACAGATACGAGTAGGGTGGATAATGTGAGGAAGAATGTAATTTGAGGTGAGTGAGTCTAAAAAGTCTTTAGCATATAAATCTGTGTCACATTTTAACAAATCAATGTTAAAATCTCCCAAAATAAATATAGTTTTATTTTCTTTTGTTAAGTTTTTGAGTAAAGGATTAAGATAGAAGGATAAGAAGTTGTCCAAAGACATTTTTGGATGCCTGTAGATACAGCCAACGATAATATTAGATTTTTTTGGATTTACGATTTCAATAAAGATAGATTCTAGCTCTTTTGGTTTATAGATGAGGAGATCATTTCTGGGTTTATAGGCAAGTCTGTTATTTATATATAATAATGCACCACCTGCTTGTGATTCAGATGGTGTGTGTTCATGGGAATACCCATTAAGTGTTATGTTGCTAGTTTGAGGCCTGTTTTTATTCAGCCTGGTTTCTGATATACCAATTATGTCAAATTCAAGTTTTGTTGGTTGGAGTAGATTTTCAAGGTTGTCAAAATGTTTCGAGAGTGATGAGATATTGATATGAAATACATTGAATGAGGATTTGTCAGCTGCAATACATTTTAAATCATCAACATTAGTATAATAACTGTTTATTGGGAGATTTTGGGATTTGTTATTGTTATCAACATGTGTATTAAATGTGTTAAAGATTGAGTATATGGGGAAATCTGGTACTTGATAAATCTCATTTACTTTGGTGTCAACATTAGTAAGATTTTCGTTGTCAATTATAGTTTCTTTATTGAAGGGAAAAATACTGGCTAAACAATTTATACAAAACCAAGAACAATTTTTTGAGGAATTTTTTAGTAATTGGTAATCAATATCATTGAGATTGTTACATTTTAGGTTGACCCAATTAAGGCAGCTATCACAAAAGACAGCTTTCTGATTTTTATTGACATTTACATTGCAAACAACACATATGCTATTTGTAGTTTTCATTACGGTGAATGGTTATGGCGATAAGATATATAAGTAACAATATTTATATGAACGTAAGTAGCAGCAGCCTATCAAAGATTAAGAAAAGTGATGAATAATATTAGTAATAAAAAAGTAAATATTAAAATAATAATAAATAATAAACAAAAACAAAAACAAAACGTTAAGTGAGCTTTCTTACAATTTATTGAAAGCAATCTGACCTTGAGTATACTTATCAACTAATCGCACATTTTTGTTTAGATTGAAAAGTCGTTAACTTTTTTTTAAGCTTAAGCCGCACATTTTTTTTTTTTTTTTTTTTTTTGTTATATAATTTTTATAACTGTAAGTACGCAAAACTGCGTATTGAGTATAAACAAATAAAAAGAACTGTGCGCTAATAAATAAATATATACGGCGTAAACATGAATAAATAACATTAAATAACAAAATAAATAAGAAAATAAACCTTTGGATATTCGTAGATTTAGAACAATTTTATTGTTGAATATTTTGAGTCGGATTTCTTATATTTGACCTTTAATACAGCTGGATATTCAAGGAATGCGCTTACGATAGATTTTTCATTGCTTCATTGCGGCGCTCAGTTAGTGATTTCGAATACATCTGCTCAACTCGTATATTGTTGATGGGTCTAGCAAACACTCTTTTAGTATGTTCGCTATCGGACCATTTGTGAAATTTAACAAAAACATGACTTGGTTTAAGGCGGTTAGTAACTTTTCCACGATGGCAGCGTTCAATCATTTCGTGAATAGATCTTGGATCTACATTCGCTGCTTTGGCAATAGTATTAGCCACAATATTTTTTGTGTCATTCCAGGACTCTTTGATATTATTTTCATAAGGGATATTTTTAAATATAAGTGTTTTCCTTAGGTTTCTGTTAACCTGGTCATCTAAGTCATTTTTTAATTTTTCATTTTCTTCCAAAAGTAATTTATTATTTTTGGATAAGTCGATGAGTTGATTACGTAGTTCAGTAATATCTTTAGTGTTCTTAGCTACTGTAGTTTTAATATCAGCATATGTAGCTTTCAGTTCAGAAATATCATTAGTTATTTTTATCAGACTTGTATTGATAGCAAGTAGAATTTCATTTTTTTGATTATCTAGGAGGGATTTGATATTTGCCATTGATAGTTCAGACATATTTGGTTTTTCGAAAAAGAATTAGTTAGAAGAAATAGCCGCTTTTATAATTAGATTATTGGATTACGTGATTAGATAGATTTAAGCGGATATAAGTTGGAAATGTGTCTTTTGAAATCAGGCCATCTTGCTTCGAATACGCCGGAGACCGAGAAAAGGTAGGTGCAAGTTTCCATACCGCAAAGTCAGGTGGTGTCTTAGAGTCCGCAAAACTCGTAAATCTATTTCGCATAATTATTTTTTACATGAATAATTATTTTTTTGTTGGTATAATTAAATTTATTAATAATTTTGGCCATGCTTTCTTGTTTGTTTTATAAAGCCGAAAGGATTATATTAACTTGAAGGATTAAGTAGAAAATAATAACTGTAAAATGGATAATATTTCTTTTTCATATGATAAGATATCGGGAGACGATAAGAGTTTAAGTTTGTTACAAGAATCTAATCTCATTAATGGTAATTTGATAATTTTATGGTATTATATAATTTTTAATATATATTATATAATTTTATGTATTTTGTGGATTTGTTATTTTTCCAAAATTGATAATTTTATTTTATTTTTATTATTTTGAGTTATTAAAGTAATTATTAGTATATGATATTTTTAGAAGGAAAGTGGATATGTGCAGAATCATACGAGGAAATACTCGCTTTAATTCAAAACTATGAAACAGAAACTGTGTCAAAGTTTTCATGCTATTCTGCTGACAAAAACTTTGGTAATATAGGTAAGAAAAAGTTTGTCAGTTGCCAAGATATTGCTCACATTGTTTTTTTTTTGTGATTTTATAGGTTTCTTTATACATATCTAACTAAAAATTAAAACAAAATAGTTCTTCCTGTAGTATTAAGCAAAACGAGTAATAAATAACTTTATTAAAAAATCTAGTAAATATCCTGTTTATCCTGTTTTTAAATATGTTTTTTTTAATATGTTTAAAGAAGCTTCTGTCAAACACCATAAAATAAGATGGGAGGACGACTCTGTACCTTTTAATGGTGTTCTATTCCTGATTGTAGGAAGTAAAGTCTTTGACTGTATGCATGGAAGAGATAGAAAAGTATCTTTTAAAGAAGAATATAAAATGCGTTGCAATGATAGAAAGGTATCTTGAATGTGCAATATTTACTTATATTTAAATAATTATATAAGGTATATCATATACTTATTTATAGTTATATATTATATAAGTATATCATAAATTTGAAAACTTTAATGATTCAATTATAGATAAAATACATGTTTATGCACTATATTTAGTTAATTAATCATAAAAGGTAGTCCGAAGGTTGCTTCGAGAACCATTACTTGTTATCTTAGCCGAAGTGGGTACTTCATTTTTTTTTCCCTAAAATCAACCCCTAATGACTCCTGTTCAATAAGAAAATAGGGTAAAATAATGTAAAAAACACTTGAGAAAAAGAATCAATGGGTCTTTTGTGATGAGAGTCGTTTTGAGTTATTTTGAGCTCGTGAAGGTTAATGGCAAAGAAACAACCAAGAAATGGCAAACCAAAGTTTAAACAGAGTCTTATGGCTTAGGGGACGATTCTTTCCAAAGGTACATTGCTTATTATCAAGGGCACTGTGAATAATGAAAAGTACAAAGAAATACTTTCTGAAGCTAAGCCAATTCTAAGCCGTCGTGTTCAAAAATAGAAGTTTAAGATAAAGATTAAGCTTTACTCTTTATTTTCTATTGAACAATTTTATTATTCATTTGTTATTTTGAAAATAAACCTTAAAAAACTCATTTATTTTGTCCGGGAGGTATAAGGTAATCATACATCGTCTTAATAATGAACTATTACGAAAGTGAGGAAAACTATTCGGGAGCAAAAAAAAACAGTAACTAAGAAGAATTTCTTAAAATCTTATATTAATCAAGAAAACACAACAATAAAAGGGAACTCTTTATTGTTTACTTTTAAAGAAAAAAAAATATTCAAAGTTTTGCATTAAAGAACAATCAGTGCTGAAACGTCGAGAGCATATTTGAGCACCATATTAGTGTCTCAATATAATATAAAGAAACACTGCAACAATGAAATATGTTTTTTTTGTTCAGATTTACAAATCATCATAACATGAAAATGGAAGAGAGTTCTAATAAAGCGAATAAGAGATTTTTAAAGGTAAAGAATGGAATCAGAAATAATAAAATGGCAAGCACGATAAAGAGAAGAACCTTAAAAGATGTTAACTTAGATGTTAACGGTTTCTATGAGAGGTCAGTAGTGAACGATGATTCAAGCAGATGCGAAGAAGAGAACTCAGTGAGAGGGTACCCATTCGTCAATATAGAAAGACACTGCAAGCCCCAACCTAATACAGAAGTGAGATCAGATTCAATATTGGCTGTCTGTTCTAACCAATCGAAGATCTCTGAGTTACCCAAAAGTTACTAGAAATGAAGAATGTTGAGGATGACTTTAATAAAGCGGTATGAAATGTTCCGAGATTTTTATATGTGTTTGCGGTTAAAAGATAAAACCTTGTGGTAGGAAAAAGAAGAGTGCTGTCTATCTAGGATAACTTTAATGCTAAAAATGTAGAGGAAAGATTTTCATAACTTTTGTTAATACGCAATGCAAAGGTTTTATGAATACTTGGAGCCAGAACTTTTGTACCTTTTTTTTTAAAGATTTAGAAAAAGCAGTTAGTTATTAAAGTTACCAAAACTTACTAGAAAATCAGCAGTAATAAACTAAGCAATAAAAAATCTGCAGTATCAAAAATCAGCAGTAGAACCTTAAGACCGGAAACAATATTGACCGTTAGAAAGTAAGTTATTGAATTGCGTTATAAATGCATTAGATAATAACTTTTTTTTTCTAGTAACTCACAACTTAGACCTGTTTGTTTGCAGCTTATTAGGAGCGAATTAGAGAGTGAAAAAATATATAGCAGCTTAGCAAAAAGTAATGACATGAACAAAAATACCATCATAAATAAATAATACTATAAAATAATGAAAATAATTATACAATTTACAAACATTAGAAAAAAGAATAAATAAACAACCACAAATAAATAATTTATAAAAAATTTATGTATTTTTATCAAAATAAAAAATAAGAATTTTTGATCAAAACTTACTATCAAATAATGCTGCATTTCTTCGCTATGGAGACATAAAAACATTTTTTGAATTCAACTTAACTCTTAGTTTATGATTCAATAGTTAAACATCGGATTTCGAGGTTCAACTTTCAAAATCATTTCTAACATTTGAGAAAGTCATATTGTTGTGAAAGTTGGTGAGTTAAGATAGCTAAGATCCTTAAAATAGAGAACATTTAAAAGTTACATCTATGTTATGGAAAAAAATATATATATTTATTTGTCAAATTCTAAATTGTATATATATATATATATATATATATATATATATATATATATATATATATATATATATATATATATATATATATATATATATATATATATATATATATATATATTTGTCAAATTCTAAATTGTATATATATATATATATATATATATATATATATATATATATATATTTATATATATATATATATATATATACATATACAAATATATATATATATATATATATATATATATATATATATATATATACAAATATATATATATTTATTTATATATATATATATATATATATATATATATACAAATATATATATATTTATTTATATATATATATAAATAAAAGTTAAATTTTAATTTAGTTACCCTCTAATTTGATATGGTTTGTGGTCAAGAAAATAAATTCAAAACTGAAAGCATAACATAAATAATATTTTAGTGAATACTCAAAAATTTCAAAGTTTAAAAAATGTTTTTTTAATAAAACAGTAAACTTTCTTATAAAATAAGTTTGATTGAATATAAATGTTTACAAAATGTCTATGTTAAAATGTTTACATGCATATTGATATATATATATATATATATATATATATATATATATATATATATATATATATATATATATATATATATATATATATATATATATATATATATATATATATATATATATATATATATATATATATATATATATATATATATATATATATATATATATAAAGTAAACCTTGATCATAATCTAATGTTTTGTTTTGTTATTGTTTTTCATGTTTACATTAAAAAAGGGTTTCATATAGAACTTAAGTTTATTTTATTCTCATTTTCTTTACCAAAACTCAACAGATAAAATAAAAGTAAAAACTCATTATTCAGTCAGAGCCCCCAAAAAAAATTGCAAAATGTATATTATCAAAAGTAGAAAAACCTGGTAAAAAAAAACTCTACATTAGAGGACATGTGAAAGCAAATTATTTAAAAATTAAAAATTAAATAAAAGATATTTAAGTTTTAAAAATAAAAACACAGAAGAAACTTGTTTTTGTATCTACTTTAAATAGTATAGAATGCAATAAAAAAAAATAGACTAAAGGAAAAATTAATTTTTTCACTTACATAAAACAACAAAAATTAACATAAGCTTAAGTAGAAATAATACGTGTAGATATTTAACCTTAATTTTTAGTTCCAGATTAAGTATTTAACAGACTAATTAAGCATCTTAAACATAGTTACTCCAACATTTCGAGAATACATGAATTAAATAGCTGTCCTTCTAATTTTTTAAAAATTGGAAATACAAATTATGAAATATTATGCAGTACACTAAATAATCTCAACTTAACATAAGATGCTTTCAAGCGTTGTAAATATGTTAAAAATTTCAAGAATTCTTTAACATGATTGATAAGTAACCAACTAACAAAGTTTACCATTGTACTCTCTTACAACAATGCAAAGACGAAACTGAATGATAGCTTGTTTGAACAATAATTATATAAATTGTTCTACCTAAACTCTTCAGCTTTGTGTAACTGAACATAACAGCAAAGCTTATACTTAATTTATAGCTAAGGCTAGAAAACAGTATTTTATTTTCACTGTTCTTCAACTTTAATAAACATGATACATAAAATTCATCAACAGCTAACTTTTTTTTTATGCTTAGTTATACAGGGTTTAGTGAAACATAATGGAACATAGTGGAACAAAATGTATAACTTAGTTATACAGAGAGTGGAACAAATGGAACACAAAAAACAATAACATTGTCTCAAGTTCATTATATAATTTGTAATGGAAGTTTCAGAAAATGTAGGTGGATAAAAAACTTTATTAGAAGAGTTAAATGAAAATTTCATCACAAACTTTTTTGTTTTGAGGTATATTAATAAAAAAAAAACAGAATATTTCTACTAAAATCCGAATGTTTCTACCAAATTTAATTTTGTTTTCAAACTTTAAATGATTTCTTTGACAAAGAAACAAAGAAATTGTAAAATATTATTTATAAAAAAATTAAAAAAAAAAAAATCCTAATAGTTTTTTGTCTCAGTCTAATTTCTAATAAATAGACAAGGGAAATAACTTATTTTAAATCATAAGAAACTTTAATATAAACAAATTATATTCAATATGCATATTGCATTTTACATCGTATTTAATATTAATGTATACATTAATATTAAATATGATGTAAAATGTACAAATACAGCAAACTAGATATTTTACGTCATAAATCCAAATAAATATTTACATTTAATTTAAATGAACTTAAATTAAGTTCATAAATTAAAAAGTTAAAGCCAAAGTTATAAAGAAGCATTAAAATTACGTTTTTCACACGTTATTTCGTTACGTAGTGAATGTTTCAGTACCGTAATTAAACAAAAACAAATACCGTAAATGTATCAAAACAAATAATTATTCATGCTTAAAATAATTATGTATAATAAATTACAAAATTTACGGACCTAAAGACGCCACCTGACTTTGCGGTATGGAAACATGCATCAACCCCGAGAAAAAGATATATTTATCTAGATTTATCTAGTAAGTTGTTTTTTAACAGAATATAGGGGTGATGTAATATTCTAAGCATATAGTAGTGTATTTCTAAGTTTTGTGAAGGTGATGTGATATTCTAACATTTTAAGCACTATCTACAATATTGTTTTTTAACAAAATATATGGGTGATGTGATATTCTAAACATATATAAGTGTATTTCTAAATTTTATAAAGGTGA